AGCCCCGTCCCCACTCACGAGTGCAGCCCGTGCACGCCCCCCTCGACCTGCGCCGCCACCGTCCTGCGCTCGAACTTCAGCTCCCCCGCGAACATCATGGACCTGGGGGGCACGGGGGGTCGGTGGGGCCGCCGGGACCCCCGGCCCGCCCGCCCCGGCCCCCCGCACTGACCGGAGCGCCGAGAGGCTGCGGGCGCCCAGGTCCTGGCAGCCGTGCTGCAGCCCGGCCAGCAGGTACGGCACGAACTTGTGGATGGAGCCCTTGTCCTGCACCGAGCCCGACACGCCCTGCGCCACCTTCACCGCGTCGCCCTCGCTGCGGGGCACACGCGGGCTGGGCGGGCGGCCGGGGGGCGGCACTCAGCCCCCCGGGCCCCCCCGGTACCTGAAGTAGCGTTTCTGGCTGCCCGGGCCCTGCTCCATGGCGTCCAGCGAGCCCATGCCGCGGTACTGCTTCAGCCGCACGCCCTCCGAGAAGAAGAACTCGCCCGGAGCCTCCGTGGTGGCCGCCAGCAGCGAGCCCATCATCACTGCGGGGACACCCGGAGGGGACAGCCCGGGGGGGACATCAGGGACAGCCCGGCGGGGACATCAGGGACAGCCCCGCAGGGACATCAGGGACAGCCCGGCAGGGACAGCCCGGCGGGGACAGCCGAGCCCATCATCACTGCGGGGACACCCGGGGGGGACAGCCCGGCGGGGACAGCCCGGAGGGGACATCAGGGACAGCCCGGCAGGGACAGCCCGGCGGGGACAGCCCGGCGGGGACATCAGGGACAGCCCCGCAGGGACATCAGGGACAGCCCGGCAGGGACAGCCCGGCGGGGACAGCCCGGAGGGGACATCAGGGACAGCCCGGCGGGGACAGCCCGGAGGGGACACCCAGAGGGGACATCCCATCAGGGACAGCCCATCAGGGACAGCCCGGCAAGGACAGCCCGGCGGGGACATCAGGGACAGCCCGGCAGGGACAGTCCGGCGGGGGACACCCAGAGGGGACATCCCATCAGGGACAGCCCGGCGGGGACACCCCATCAGGGACACCCGGTCAGGGACCCCCGCAGTGGGGTGGGGGGATATAAAACCCCACCAGGAGGGGCTGGGGGCTGTGGGGCGTCTCCAGGAGTGTGGGGTGTCCTGGGGGGCACCGGGGCAGGCTGGTGGCCACGAGAGCCCCGCCGGGTGCCCCCCATGCCCCC